TCGGAGAAACCATGAGTTTCCGGCCGCGGGCGACGCCCTCGCCGAGCAGCTCGCGAATCCCGGGCGGGAGATCGGATGCCACGATAAAGACAGAAGGCACTCTAACAAGAAGGTGAGCGGGGTAGCGTGACAGGAAGAGAGATTAGGCGAACTGAGGCGACAAAGGGGACCCCATTTGCGGGACCCGAGAAATCGGGGGGGGACCCGGCCTGCTGTCGCGCGGGGTCGGGACACCCCCGTGAGCTTGCAGCCCCTTGAGGGGACTTCGATAACTGGTCTGCGGGTTTGACAGGATGGTCACTTGACCTGAAGACACGCTTGTGCTTGTCTGGAGAGTCGAGCAGCTCACGGCCAGGCTGTTCACAGTCGCCGACGTCCGGTGGCATCATATAGGGCTTCGTGTCGAGCAGTGACCCATAGTCGAGCAGCCCCAATCCGACGGGGCGGCCACCCATGAGGGCGGTGTCCATCGGGGTCGCCGCAATGATGCAAGATCTAGGGGTCCGCTTCACGGGACGTGAACGTCGCAGGGGGAGAGGACCATCGGGGGATATTGGGCACCCAGAGGACGTGGACACCGATCGACCTGGTGGTGCCTGGGAGGTGCCTCTTGGGTGTCGGGGCCGCGCGTGGACAAGGACGCCGCCATCGCAGACAAGGCCCGCAGTGGATAGCTCCCGCACAGGCCTGCTGACTCTGCGGGGAAATGTTGCTTGGTTATAACGCGTTCGGGGCTGCCCGTAGCTGTGATCGTGCGTTGATCCGTCCGAGGAGGGCCTGCGGGCCCGCTCCGTCAGCGATGGAATGTTACGGGAGGAATGAGACGCGACGTTCTGGGGTTCGTCGGTGCCGTAGTGTCCATGGCGCTGGTGGCTGTCGCGGGCGCGGTGTCTGGGGAGGGTTGCACAACCAATGCCTATGTTGGTGGAAATTGGGGTGCGCGAGCGAGAGGAGTTTGGTTGAGGCTCCAGAGGCTCCAGCGAGTGACCTCGCGTAATTGCGAGTGCGTCGAAGCGAGCGGGAAGCCTCTGAAATGTTCTAGTCAATCTATGACAAAGCTTGACACAAAGAAAGAGTAATGGAGCAGACGAACACTGTCACTCACACTCACCAAGTGGTAGTCGCGCGCATACAGGTGCCCAAGTGTTGCATACCGAGCAGAACTGCATGTTCGTGTACCCCGAGACGAGTTTTGGTGGCGTTCCAGCGCAAAGTCCGAGTTGGTCATATGATGCTATAGTGGAACCAAGGGCCCCAACAGCCTCCATTCTACCTGTGCCAGCGCAGTCTCAGGCCGCCAGACCAGCCCAGCAGGCGTCTCCCAGAGGCCAATAAGCAAGGCTACGGCAGCCGCGGGACTTCCGATACGGATCGGCGAACCAAGCCTGTTCAGTGCACCTGTATTGAACTATTTTTCCATATTTTCCGTGGATATTAACGACCTGGAGTACTTGCCGCAATGCTCCCCTAGGCAACGGACCAGAGACGATGATGTTTGGGGGAGGTGCGCAACTTGATGGGATCTCTACAGGAGCTTGTCGCACGGCCGAGATTAGCGAAAAATCCGGCCGTCCAGTGAGCGAGAACCGAGGCCCGGAAACTTGGCCAGCAAAGTCGTAGCCGAGGGGCCCTCTCCTTCTCCTATGACCCTTCCTCCGCGCCCGCGCCCGCTCCCAGCTCCCCACCCGCTCCAGCAATTCAAGTGAAGCCTGCGCCCCGTGCACGCGCTGCTCCACCGCGCGGCGCAACCAGCTGCCAGCGCAGCCCCGCCAGCCGTACATAACCAGTACATAAATTCGGTATTATCATCTCCGAGAAATACGTCAGAGGCACACCTAGGCGCTTATCAGAAGTCTCCTGAAATGGCAGGTGTAGAGGTTCGCAAGCCATTCGCGCGCTCAGCGTCCTTGACTCACTGGGACTATGAATTGCCCCTGCGGTGCCAGCGGGGGTCGTGAGGGTACGTGTTGTGGACGCTGCGCGGTTCTGCACCGCGTGCCCGGAGACTCGGGGGGCCCCTTCAAGGCCGACGGCGCACGAGCACCGCTCCGTGCAGGCTCGTCCATGGCAGTTGCCACCATGCTCATCGTCCCTGCGTGCCTTCCGTCATGCGCAGGACGTATTACCGCCGGCCGAGCTGGACGTGGCTGGGATGGCCCCGCCGTGCCATCCCATTTGTGAATCCCGTCCGGACCTGTGAGCCACTAAAGGAAGATTCGGACGCCAATTGATAGAGGCGGGCGTCCCGCGCCGCATCAACGCTCTGCCCGACTTCAGGCCGCCGTGAGGCTGGGTGCGCGGCGGGCAGGCTTGTGTCCAATTTCTGGAATCGCGCCATTGAATATTGGCTTTTTCCAGGGGGACATTTCCGTCCGACAAGGAGACTGGGCCTCCTTCAATCCTTCTATCGAACTTAGTAGTGTGGCGCTGTGCACCAGGCTTCGGCCACGACCTCGGTGTCCCGCAAACTTCTAAACCCAATCACTTCAGCTTAGAATTTCACGGGAAAGAAGCCCACGTACGAAGTACGATATGTCCCATGACTTGGTCGGAAAGTTGGCATATTTCAAATGACAACTGTACGCTGCCGCCCCGGGCCCTCGTTTTCTGCAGCATTCGAAAGAAAGCGATCGATGCACACACACTGCAGCTCCATGGCATAGTCGCGCGTCGCACACATGCCTCGGCGGAGGAAGACAGGCCTTGACAGATTAAAACAGCGACAATAATCAACGTACGTCCACGCGCGGCGAGAGTACAATGCTAACGAGGTTTTAATTTTTCTACATACACTTGGATGAGAGTTCCAGAAACACCAGAGAACGCAACCATGCAACACAGAGGAGACGTGGCGGATGTGAGGACAGAGGGAGTCGAGCTTGTGCAGACGGGGCTTCAAAAAGCAGCGCAAAGGGGAGATAGCAAGGCAGATCGTGGATGAAATGGCGTCTGAGATTGCGTGTGCTAATGGGCTATGCAAGCCATTGAGGCTATTACTGTGCGGCGGTGTGCCCGTTGGCAGCGGATACGTCAGTGGGTACATCTGGTGCCGGGGTTTCCTTTCGGCTTGAACTGGGGCGAGACGAGCTGCGAGCGTGAATCGGACGGGCGATAATCAGTACAGAAGGGCACAGAAGAAGGTCAGCCTTACGGCTCTTTGGACTTGCGATTGGGCCTAGGCCAACCCCAAACCTCGCGGATCCATCGTTCCATGGGCACCTCCTGCTTCATCACTCTGACGATCCAAGAGTGAGCCAGCATCTCTTTCGGCGTTGGACGCAAGGCCGGATCGACCCGCAGGCTGGACAAGACGATGATGTCAGGCTGGATACATGCGGAGAAGGGGTGAAAACCCGCACGTTTCTTTGATGAAATCCTTCATGGCATCACTCCAGTAAAACCCTGCTTCGTCTTCTAATTGCGGCGGCTAGACGTAAAAGAAGTCAACCAAGTCGCACCGGGGCGAAACGAGGTACAGACCTCGCTTTGTGTAATATAGATCATGAGTTCGATAGGTGGCATATCGGTGGGGAAGGGGAAGCGGTTCTGCACCAGCTCAAGGAGTGATAGGCCTGTCGACCATACGTCGGCACGAATGGAATATTCGAGGCCTGAAAGGCGTTCGGGCTGCGAGGCAAGCGCATGTTAGATGCGGATGACGCGTGATGTAGTAAGGACACGGACAGCCATGTAAAGGCTTGTGCCAGTGAACGTGCCGGCGTAGGAACCGATCAGTTCTCCTGACACGCCAAAGTCACAAAGTTTCACGACACCCTCGCGGGACAGGAGGACGTTGGACGGCTTGATGTCGCGGTGAATGAGCTTCTTTGAATGAAGGTACGCCAGACCTTGCAATATCTGCCATGAATGGTGAGGCGCAATGATAGCATTAAAATGGCAGAACTGCATACGCCCTCCGCAAGACGCCCCGCGACCTTCTCACCGACACGACCACCGCGCTCCTTGATCCGCCTACCCACGGCCTCCAGACTCTTGCCATCACATATCTCCATAACCACCTTGACTTCGCTGGACGAGGGGGACATGTATGCGCCATAGAAACGAATGATGTTGGGATGCTTGATTGTGGTGATAATCCCGAGCTCGCGGACGAGCTGCTTCATCGGGGCCTCACGAGTGGTGATGGTCTTGCGGGCCATGAGCTTGCCGGTGCGCCTGTCTTTGACCTCGTGCACGGCACCACCGGCACCTTCTCCGAGCCGGGCGACCTCATCGAAGACATCGTCCGACCATTCGGTCTGAGGCTGATCATCGATCTGCTCTTCTCCAGGTTGAGTGGGCAGAGGGGAAGCGTTGCGAGTCTGGACCTCGATATCAGTTATCGTGCGACGGACGTCCTCCATAGAGAGTGGCCTGGAGGTATTCATGGATGGACGGATGGTGGTATCGCCGGTGCCGCTGCCGTTAACTGGAGGAGAGACGGAGGGGGTCTGAGGCCCGCCGTAGTAGTCGCCACCATAGTGGCCGATGGATGGTTCGTCGGCTGGGCGAGGAGCAGCGCTACCGCCGATGGCAAGTTTGAGGGAGGGCTTGCCCTTTCCAGGGGTGGGAGCGGGTATCTGGAGAGCGAGCTTCGGGGTTGGCACACGGGAGAGAGGGGGGCTGGGCGGGGAGAGAAGTGTGGGGTTTTCGGGCTTAGACGCCTTGCGAATGTTAAGAGGCGCGATCGGTGCGGGGGTAGCGTAGGGTGAGGGGGAGGCCGAGCGCTGAAAAGTGCGGGGGCCGTGGGGACGACCTGGGGTGGGGTGATGCGCCTGGCCGCCCGAGCCAGTGGAGAGGAGCATGGAGGACATTGAGCGCAGTGGAAGACAGGGAGAAGGAGGGCTGGGGGAGACTGAGGGGCGAGGCCAATTCGGACTGCCGGCGTCCGCACCCAAGGCGAGTCTTAGACAAACCTTGCAACGCCTCGCGGCCCTTGACAACCGCCGTGTATCACTCCTGATAGGCCTCTTGGTTGTACTTCTCTTGTTCCCGGTTATGGTACTGTAGCCAAGTGGTTACGGCGTCACGTTTAGGTCCTTTACCAATCCGTGATGGGAAACCTCGCGAGTTCGAATCTCGTCAGTGCCACTTTTTTGCTCCCCCGGCACGCCACCTTGTGTCGGTGAGGTCACTTCCCCAAGCTGCCCGCCACACCTGCAGGGACACACTAGGGACACACCGCACCGCACTCCATCGTCGTCCCGACCACAATCTGTAATGTGTTTTATACCGCTCTGACACACTCTGTATTTTTTTTCGGAGAACCTGGCTGCTGTACTACACCATCCTACTCATAACAGCCTATAACATGCCACCCCACAGCGACACCGGCTCCGAGATCTCCCTGCCCAGCTCTGTCTCGTCCAACTCAATCGCACACCCATCTAATCCTCCCATTACGCCCAGAAAGTCACGGAAGCAACCAGACTCGATCCGTCTCGACTCTATCGGCGTCGATCCCGATGATATCGTCGGCAAAGTCCTTGTGCGCATCCGGCGGTCCCCCACGCACCCCGCTGTCACCCTCCATTTTGCAGATAATACTACCTACCAGGTCCGCGTCGACGGCTACGACCCCGTCCATCGCGGCATCCCAAAAGAGCTCGAGATGAACTCGCTACTCGTACCGCTCTTCAAACCGCCCAGTGGCCAGGTCGACGTGCGCCTCACCGTCACCCATGCGCGCATGGTCAAGCTCAAGGACACCGCGCACGAATGGTCCGAGCGCTCCGAGAGCAGGTGGAACGTCGAGCACCTCGCACTCGCGCTCAAGTTTGCAGAGGAGCCCGGCTGGCACTGCGTCTGGGCGACCATGGCCGAGTACGACGGCGACTTCGGGCCATGCACCTTCCGGAGCTTCGAGGACGTATATCTCGCCGAGCTGCAGTCATCCTCCAGGAAGCGCAGGTCACCGCAGAAGCAAGCTCGGCCACCCCATGGAGGTGGTGTCCAGGCAATGCGCTGAATTCATTGCAAATGGCAGAATTGTACCCCGCCAAGTCTCCCGCAACATCACCTTAACCCCTCCGCGCGTCGGGAAGCGAGGGCTTCTTGATACCTTCCCGTTGACCATTTGCTGTGCTCTCCGACCGTCTTCTCTGCATAGTTGTCATGCTTCTCACGTACATTTGGAGCCCGTTGCATTGCTTTGGAGTCGCAATATCGCTGTATTTGTACTATTCGTTATCAACATGGCTTCTTCAATGACGAAGCAATCCAGTTATATGCATGCCCTTTAGTCGCCCAGATCGACAGCTTCCGTAGTTCCGCAGCGAGGGTGGGAGAGTGCGAGACTCATGGCAGGGAGCGAGACGTCACCGCGTCACCCCCCTACTCGTCTATATCCCCATCAAGGCGGCGGGTCCCTCTGCATCGGCCTCCTTGACGACAGGATCAAAACGGGGAAGATGCACGCGCCGGAGAGCTTCACGCCACATGACAGTGCGGCATCATCCTGCTCGTCAGAGGCGCACGCACGAGACTCACAAAGGCAACGGAGGTCCCACGTACCCTCACGTACCCGTCACATAGTCTCCGGAGCGCGCACCGCGTCCAGAGCCTCATCGTCAATGGCGCACCACTTGGACGTTGTGGCCGAGGCCAAGGCCATCTATGTCAAGTGAACCGCGGAGCGCGCGGCACGTATTATTGAGCCGGCACCACTGCGAGAGACAAGCGCAATGTGTCGGCCCAGAATGGGAAGAGGGACGTTGTGCCGTAAGAAAGGAGGCAGGGTCCACAATGACTTCACAGCTGCCTCGTCTCAAGTGTTGATCCTCTCGCCCAATACAGCGAGAACAGCGGACCCCGGCGAAGGCGAACGGGATCCCTAAATGTTGCCAGCGCAGCTGTATCTAGCTGTATCAAGGAAGGACAGATACAGCACCAGATCAGGGAGGCTGCGATTGTTCCTTGAGGGACCCGATTAGCACCAGCTGTATCGGTAAACGGCGTGGCGAATCGGACGGCTAACGTGAAGCGTCTTACTCGAGGACAAGAGCGCGAAGCTTGTTCACAGCGTGGTCTGCTTACATCCCCACGGACGGGGCAGATGAAATCAGCTTCGCTGAAGGAACCTAAAAGATGAGATACCGTCGTCTGGCCAGGGAGACAGTCAGAAATCAAACCTTGCTGCATGGTTCTTAGCCAACGTGATTCGTTTCTGTCGCCTTGAATGGGGATATTTGGACATCGCGCACCAGGGTGTTATGAGAGCGCACCAAAAGCAGATCGATTGTTCCGAGTGTTTTTGGGGCCACGGACGCACGCAGGATATGACGCTCATGGGCCTTGTGATTCGGCGACCTGCCAAAATCGACGGACTGGGAGATCGTGGAGGCCAGCTGATGGGCGCAGCATCACGTTGGTACGGATGTTGATTTACAGACAGGCGGCGTGGGTGCTGGAAGGGACCGTTAGATGCCAGACAGTCGGCGGCACTATTAGTGAGAAAGGCACGAGATAGATAGCTGTCGCCGCGCTGCTGTGGTCCAGGGTATCCTGTGGCCGCCTCTGCCGCTGACACGTCCGCGTCCGTGCCGTCGCACCTCGAAGGGGAGATAAACGGCCCCAGGGGAGATACGCTCCCTTTGCCGCGTCGAACGGGGACGCCTCCAAACTTCATTATAGCGTAACGAGCCGCAAGGAGCTCTCAGACTTTCCTCAAGGGCAAGCTGCGGCTATACAGTTTGTGAGCGGCATTACTGCAGATAAAACCCAGGGCTTTACATACCGGTCAATCAGCACGCCCGCGCCGAACGGCGACAAGATGCCAATAGAGCCTGAAACCTCTCAAATTGTGCTCACAGCCCCGCCCAAGCCTGGTGGGCGTCAGATCCCAGTGTCAACCGGAATTATGAAGGGATGGGGATGGAGTCTCAGCAACAGCGATCGCTGCCTTACGTTTTTGTGTAATAAGTGCGCGGAGCTTCGAGGTCGTGGCGCTTCGGCTTACAAGTGCGTCAGCTGCAGCGAAGGCGCAGCGGCAGGAGGTTGCGAAACCTGGTGGAGTCCCTCCACCTTGCTGGTGCCACAGCGCTCGCAGCCCTTTGCAGAAGTGCCGATGGCCGGACCAGCACAGCCGGCTAGGTTTCCTTTGCAGGGACACGGTCCAGAAGAGCCTGGAGGCTGCGGCCTCCACTAGGCTGAATGGGGGTGACCAAATCCACGAGAATGATGGATCTTGCGCACTTCGAGCTGGACTCTAAACCAGGACGGTCGAATCAAATTGCCAGGTAGGCGCGGAGGGAATTTCTGGGCAGGCTGGGAGGGGAATGGCTCGCCCCCTCGATCAGGGACTGGACTCCATAGTCGCTGACATTGACATTCTTCATACTGTCGTGATTCTGTCCATCAGAACGCGCAATGGCGGGCAAATGTCCCCGCGGCTGGCCTATGGCGAGCGTGTTCTGCAAAGCTTAAGTTTTTTTTTTTCGAGTTACGAGAGGACAGTGTGAATTGAGTTCGGCCGCCCATACAGACACGAGGATGCGCGTGTGTCGTCCCGGCGGGGAGCGCGAGTGTCGAAAGTTGGCGCGGGTTTGGGGCTCCCGCGTGGCGAGGGAGGCGCGTTGGTGGCGTCCAACATCGACTTGTCCCCCACCAGCTCCATGACTTCTGCGCGTAAAACGGTGTCCTCCAAGGTCACATTTGCCTCATTGACCCCAAATAACCTGGGCACCGTCCGAAAGCTGAACTCCGTCCTCTTTCCGATCAAATACAGCGAGAAGTTCTACAGCGAGATCCTCTTACCTGAGGTCGAGGATTTCTGCAGGCTCAGTGCGTGCATACGCGCGTCTTCTCGGCTTCTCGTGAGCTAATACGTGAGCACAGTCTATTACAATGACATTCCCGTTGGAACGATCTGCTGCAGGCTCGAAACGAAGGATGGCGTGAATCAACTATACCTGCTCACAATGGGGGTTCTTGCTGTGCGCCCTGTGTTTCGTCCCCTCCGGTGTTTTCACTGAAACCATTCTTCGATGTACTAGCCTTATCGGTCTCTCGGGATCGGCTCACATGGCCTAGACGTCGTACTGCAGGCGGCTGCTTCCCACTCCAAGCCCAAGATCGACCGAATATACCTTCATGTCCAGGTGTCCAATGACGGTGCGAAGCTGTTCTACGAGCGACATGGATTCAAGGAGAGTGGCATCGACGAATCCTATTACAAGAAAATCAAGCCGAGCGGAGCCTGGATACTGGAAAGGGCCGTCGAACACGCCAGTAGTGAGTAATAGTAGGGCACAGCTGCCTCAGTCGGCGACGGATGTGTAGTAAGTGGTTCTAGATTAACGTATTTTCGCATTGCTAAATAGGACGGTGTTCACAGTATAGGCTACAAAATATACAATGGGTGTCTACCACCCAACATCACCGAGCACATTATAATCAGACAGTGATAGTTGTCCTTCGACGATGTGTCAATGTGAGAGATAAGGAAACGGAGCGAGATAATTAGAGGAATCTGGGGTCTTGGTGAGTCAGTGCGTCACACGCCTCGTAGCAAGGTTGCTTACTCGAAAGAATACATATCGACGGCATAGCGGCCTCAAGATTGCTCCTCGAACCCACACCTCTTCACGAGCTGACGAAGGACATGAGCTCGATAGTCCATCCGGGGAATACGGGAACAAGCGTACCTGGTGCCTCTTCAAAGCGTCCTTTCGAGTGAAGGTCTTGCCGCATCCGCCATTGCACAGGAACGGCTTCTCACCCGAGTGCGTCTCGCGGTGCCTCTTGAGATCATGCTGGCGATTGAATGATAGTGCGCACATATCACACGCAAATGGGCGCTGTGGAGAGGCGGGATACTGCATCTGATCGACACCTTGCACCATCACAGGACTCTGCGCCGAACCGTGGCCGCCATAGGGATTGTTTGATACCGGTGCAGACGGGTAGCCCGACTGCGGGAGCGACATCGATCGACTGTGCGCGTAACTTGATCGCGAGTCTGATGAGGAGAGACCGTTCTGGGACGAGTACGGAAGCGACAGCGGCGGGATATTGTGCCCCGGCTGGCCGTTGGGGAGTTGGGGGGATATGGTACGTGTCGCGACGATGAGTAGTGGTTCTGCTGAGCCGAC